CAACTTTGGGTGGAAACTCCAAATTTATTCGATTTCGCATTCGTCAAATTTTCTGAATTTATCTAGGTATATCTAATAACAAACCATACATCTCAGCGCTTGAATCACATCTGCCAGCAACACACCCGATAAAACAATGCAGGGAAGGTTGCATTCTCAAACCTGTAGTGAGCTTTTTGATAGCCTTTGGAAGGGGTGTTGGTGGAAGTGGCGGTGGCGGAAATGGTTCATTCGCATAATTTGCATAGGGCCTGACGACGCCAAAGAATGAATCACGCTTGAAGTGATTCGGCAGGAAATTGTGCTCCTGAAAGTTTTTTTTAGATCATTACATATGCGCTATGACGTGACAATGTGTTCCCGTACAGTTCAGTTGCAGAAGTAAAAATGTCGGAATTTTGGGTAGATCTCAAAAATAGATTCTGTTGCTCTTGTCCTGATCTTTGATCTCAAGTAGAAATCTGATTTTGATGAAGTTTAAAAAAAATCTGATTTTGATGAAGAAATCTGATTTTGATGAAGTTTAATGAAGCTAGGAACTTTTGCGGAAAGTGACCTGAAGTTTGTTCTCGTAAGCAAATGTATCTTGCAGCTAAGACAAATGTCCTCATATCGAGCCTTAGTTGATGCCGCGAATCCAAAGAGTTTAAATATATATGCTTTTTGAGGGGAAATTATCCCTCAGCCCCGTCACCGAAAGGAAAATTTTGCCTCTTCCAGCAGCGTAAGAAATTATATCACCAACGTCACTAAGCATCTATTAAATGTACATACTAGCAGCGCATCTATATTAGGGCATGCACTGAGCATTTATTGCTCATCGAACTATGTTTCCTAACCAAGCTGGATTAATGTGGAGGAGCCAGGAAGTCACGATGTTCCTCATTTTGTCCATTTATTCAAAAGCACTTTTTTAAACTTGATGTATGAGTTATATTTGGCTAAGTCCTGAAAATCATCACACAGGCTTTATACGCTTTCCTTCCTGTATAACAATTTGGTATTGCTTTGGCAGGAAAGATGGGGTTCCCATCAGTTCTCCTCTTTCGCCTAAATAAGCGACTGGTGCGCATTTCTGAACCTCTCCGCAGAACTTCCATCTTTACGCTCTTATACTAATTCATATTGCTTTTTAAAACTTCTAAGTCTTGTATGATTGAAAATCTAGAATGGAAAATACCTCAGGCACAGGAACCCCTTCCTTACCGGCAGCGTGCAGCTGTGGCACAAGTCCGTTCCAGAAGCCCACTTGTGCATTTCGGTAATAATTTTTTACCCTTGGCCTGTCAGCTGAAAAAAAAAAACGAAACTTACGAAATAGAAGGAAAAATGTGGAAAAAATCTCAGGCAAATGACGTTTTCTAAGTGAAATCAAATATTTGTAATGAAGGATGCCCTAAACGCAGTTTACAAGAATGTTTGAAAGCAGTTCTTTAACGATGTAGCAAAATCTTAGATCAGACATGGGCAAATTTTAGAGATACGTGGGCCAGATTCACATACTTATTTAAGCTCGCGGGACACCTTTTAATAAAACCTAGGCTGGTCTGTGCGACCATGCGTTTTTGCGTTAGACTTGATGCAGTCAAATCGTTAACATTATGAACGGTTGTTGCTTTACAAAGGGCTGCCTTGGTGCGCGTCACTACTTATTTATTTTCATGACAGTGCAGTCGCAAATCCCTTTTTGTCTAGTTAGGCACCACATTTCGATTGCCTTCGTGGGCCGGATTAAAACGAGTCGCGGGCCGGGTCCGGCTCGCAGGCCACCAGTTACCCACCTGTGTTTTAGGCCAATTCTGCCAAATTAAGCACATCTTATATAAGATTACAATGTAATACTGCTATAAATAACTTCCGACGAAGAAAATGCACAACGCTTAACGTATTCCTTTAGAACTGCGCATCGTTTTCTCACCACAGTGGAGCTCTTTTGTTAATGTGCTTCAGTACCTTGCTTTGAGGAAAGTCACTAAATTTAATGGCGTTTTGTTTCCATTATTAGCTTTGCCGGTTCATAATGAAGATTCATTTTTAGCTCGTAAATATGTCCTTGAACTTTGAAGGA